CCGAGAGACGAGGCCGCAGACAGACCACATCATAGAGGAGAGAGATAGAGCGAGGAGAGAGAGCGAGAGATAGCGAGAGAGAGAGAGAGAGAGAGAGACGAGAAGAGCGAGAGAAAGAGAGTGAGAAGAGAGAGGAGAGAGAAGAGAGAGCAGAGAGCAGAGCAGCATTATGTACGTTTCACGTACTCACAGTTATTAGACGTGCGCTTAGTTGCTCTAGACGCAAACTCTAGAAGCATATTTGTTGTTAATCGCTAACTCAAGAACAATGGCGGCAGTGTAAACACGTTGCCAGTGAAGTAGTGACGCGTAGCGCGCATGGATAATGGTAACGTATACGAAATCGAAACGCCCATTGAAAGCGAGGGTGGCGGACGGTGGGGAAGGGGGGGGGTGTGAATCATAATGCCGCGCATAGTTTTAAGTTTTATATATAGCAGCGGTTTTGTTATCTTTCCGTTTTTTTTTGTTTTTTTTTGTTTTTTCCTCCTTTCAATCATCGGCGCGACTGCAGACTCCGGCGTTAAGGCCACCGCACACCAGACGATTTTTACAAACGATGAAACGATGAAACGATGGAAACGAATGAACGATGAAACGATGAAAACGATTTAGGTGTGCGGGGTCATTGTAGACGATTTTATTTTATCGGGTGATCGTTCCAAAATCAAACATGTTTGATTTTGAACCGATTATTTGGACGCGATTTTGTGGCGTGTCGCGCGTGACCTCAGGAAAATCTGTGTGCGATAAATATTGAACAGCCAATAGCTGAACGTTGCCGTGTCACATGACATTCACCTTGCAGAAATTATCGTAGGTGTTCCCCGCACACTACATCGCTCCTTCATCGTTTCATCGCTTCATCGCTTCATCTGTTTCATCGTTTCATCGCTTCATTCGGTTCATCGTTTGTAAAAATCGGCTGGTGTGCGGCGCCTTTAGTCACGTGATAACACGTACAAAGTCGCGCCTACAAAGATTAAAATATCAAAGTCGCGCCTATAAAGATTACAAAGATTACGCTACAAAGTCGCGCCGCATTCACACGTAACTGATGACGTAATGCGAAATTAATGATTATTAAGATTAGATTATTCATTAAATATTAAAAATTACGCCGCGCGCGTGCTGTCACGCGGTCATCGATGTGGGGGAGTGGTGGGTAGGTGGGTGGGAGAGGGCTGTCGCAGTGGGTCGGGGAGGGCGGGGACGTATATATATTATATATATATATTATATATATATGTTGTTGTGTGTCAGTGTGTGCGGCAGCGTGTGTGTGGTATGTGTTGCAGGAGGAGCATTTGGCACGGCATTTACAGGGAAATTGTCGGCAATAATAGGCCAAAAAAGGTAGAGCAACATTAAAGACTTTGGTAGTAAATAGATTTCGTATTTATTAGCATTAATTTTATTGAAACCCTCAAGTGCCTGTGCCACGCACATGGGCCACGCACTCACACACACACACGGACACACACATACAACGCCACACACACACACACACACACACACACACACACACACACACACACACACACACCACACACGACGCGCACACACACACACACAACAACATCGACCACCACACAATATGCATACAACCCTCCCCCCACACACACACGCTCATGCATACACCCCCCCCCCACGTCCGCCCCCACACACACACATGCACGCGCACGTCGCACGCCACACGCACGCACGCGCGCAGGGCCGGTACAATTACCGTAGACAGTGAGTAGACAGCAGCAGCCACCCACGCAGCAGCCACCCAGTAACGAGGTCAGGGATATTCTCCCATGTTCTCCCCGCGGGGCAGAAAAGAGAAGGAGGAGGAGGAAGGAGAAGGTTGGGTTTGCCCCTAAGCTGTTTTTAGACCTCCATCACCGCATACAGAGGAAGCCTAGCGGCAGTTGTAACATTAAGGGTACATTGGAGAAAGAAGGGGGAGAAGTGGGAGGAGGAAGAGGGAGGAGGGAGTAGGAAGGAGGGAGTGGGTCAGGGTTGCCCGCATCCTTCCGCGGGGCAGGAAAGACTGTTCTAGACCTCCATTACCACACACAGAGGAAGCTAGGTGGTAGTTTTAACATCTAGGGTACATTGGAGAGAGGAGGTGGTGGTTGAGAGAGAGAGGGGGTGGAGGTTGAGAGAGAGGATTGTAGAGGGAGGGTTGTAGATTTGAAAGAGGGAGGTGGATTGTAGAAAAGTAGAAACAGTAGAAAAGAACCAGATAACAACAACAGCAACAACAACACTCCCTCGTTCAGTCAACAAAGGATATATATTCCATTATTTATCTATACAACACAGATACGTCCACATTATTTACTCTATATCTCCTTGAGGTGTGTGTGCGTGTGTGTGTGCGTGCGTGCGCGTGCGTGCGTGTGTGTGTGTTTGTGTACGTGCATAAATGAGTGGACTGACATAGGCTCACGCATCAAACCCCATAGTCTAAATCGTACTGCTAGTGAGTGGACTGACACTAGCTACGGTCAAACCTAGATCTGAAGCGTACAGCTAGTGAGTGGACTGACACTAGCTACGGTTCAAACCATTAGTCTGAAGGCTAGGCCTAGTGAGTGGACTGACACTAGCTACGGTCAAACCATAGTCTCTGAAGTAGTGCATATGTGAGTGGACTGACACTAGCTACTGAGTCAACCATAGTCTGAATGTTAGTGTACTGTGAGTGGAACTGACACTAGCGCTACGGTCAAACCATAGCTCTGAAGATCTGTGAGTGCAGTTGAATGACAGCTAGCCGATTACCGATAATAGTATTTATAATAAGGTCAAACCGAGTTAGTCTAAAGATTACTGCAAGTGAGTGGACTGACACTAGACTTATCGTGCAAACGCAATTAAATAATTAACGATTAATTAATAACAATTATCATTATCTTTAATTAATATTGCTATACTAAGCGACGATCATCGATCGTCATCGACACGACGAAATACTGCGCGTAACTAACGCAAAATCATCCGCTAGACGGGCGCCGTCTGCGGACTGACGCTCCTACCCGTGTGGCTGGCCTGCATGGCAGCGGAGACGCGCGCGGGCTCGGCGCCCGTCTCAGTCGACGCGGCGGGAGAGCGTCGCTATTAGACGTAGAATCCTTCGGGGATGCGACGAGACGTGAGCAGAGCTCGTCACGCCATCTGGTGGGGCCATTCGGAAGATTTTCGTCCGTGTTGTTTGACCTCACACGATCAACAATGACATACATCTAACCCAAGGAGCTAAATATAACAAGGAGAGGAAGCGCCGCCATATCTGGCCCAAATTTGGGTTCGGCAGAGACCCTAGAACAGATTAATTAGTGTTCTATTGTCTCTGGGTTCGGTCTGCACAGGCGTTTCACCTGATTATGGTCCAGAGATGGCGCCCTTGAGGTGAACAGCACACAGCCAATCCGCTTCCTCTCCTGTTATATTTAGCTCCTTGATCTAACCAAGAGTGCACAATAGAGATCTCTAGAGATCTATGTACATGATAGATATCTCTATGATGTACTCTTGATCCAACTGATAACCAATAACCATCTAGTAATGCACTACCGGTAACAGCACCTAATCACCACACAGCATCACGACCTGCATTCATCTAACCATCACTCCGTCCATCCCTCGCTCCCTCGATCATTTGCTGTTCGTTTAGTTACAGCTACTGTCACCTAACAATCATCCCAACACCAAAGCCTGCATTCGTCCATCTCTCCATACGTCCATCCCTCGCTCCATCGCTCCCTCGATCATCCCTCATCCATCTCTCTCGACTGAGCGCCACCGTCTACGGGCGTAAGAGAGGTCATAGGTCATCCCAAGATGGCGGACCGGCAGCGTCTCAAGGTTTCACGCCGGTGTCTCAATGCCTCGTGCCGGCGTCTCAAGGCTTCATGACATCATCGGTGTCGGCTGCGGATGCGGATGCTGCGTCGTCGTGGCGATGGCTGTGTTCAGGCTGCTCGTGCTGACGATGCCACAGCTCAGAGTAGTAGCTCCCTGTAACGACGATGATGATGATCATGATGACGACGACGACGATGACGACGATGATGATGATGATGATGATGATGATGATGATGATGTTGTTGTTGTTGTCTTCTTCTGTTGTCTCCTCCCCCTCCTTCTCCTCCCTCCTCCTCCTCCTCGCCCTCCTCCCATCTTTCCTCGCTGCCTCCACCTCCTCCCTCCCTCGCACCACTCACCCGGCGTGGAGATGAGAGAGAAGTGGTCTCCTCTCTCCGCGATGCGTCCCTCCCTCAGCACGAGTATCTCCTCCTCCCTCCCTCCTCCTCCTTCTCCCCCCTCCTCCCTCCCTTCCTTCCTCCCCTCCTCCTCTCTTATCCTTTTCTCCCCTCCTTCTCTCCTCCTTTCTTCTCCACCTCTCCTCCCCTCCTTTCTCTCTCCTCTCTCCTCTCTTCCATGCCTCCTGCTTC